GTTAATAAAATATGTTTATGTTCAGTTCACCTTCAGTTTTATGTTGACAACATTATTTGCTGTTTATTTCGTGGTCTGAGTTCGTTTTAAAGTGCACCGCGTCTGTTCCACTCTCATTCTGCTAAATCTTTTCCCAAGACTGCGGTCCGTTCCCGCGGGGAGCTCGGTTTTGTGTGGTCCAGGCCCTTCCCAGCCCGTCCCGTCCTGTCACTGTTCTGAAGGCTTCCCCAGGCCCCCTTGCACCTGCACTGCTGCTCTGTCCCTTCAGGAATTCGCTGAGGCTTGTAATCAGCTTTGTGGAGCCATTGAGTGAACGGCTGAGTGAAACTTCCCAACCTCACAGCGAGCCGGCCTGCTGAATGGGAGTCAGCGTGGGGCGACTCTCCAAACCCCGGCTCTGCCAAATTCCAGCAGAGTCACTCACAATCACTCCTACACAGACCGCGCAGCCACAGACCCCGGGAACAAGGGGGGGGTGGGAGTGTATCTGCGTGTGTGTGTGTGTGTGGAGGGGGGGGGGGGGGGTCAAAACGAACTCTAACAGATGATCGAGTCAAAACATGTTCCTCATCACTCACAGAGGAGTAGGCCTGGAAAATACTTTTTGCTATTTGTTCGTCACTCAAGGTCATTTTGTTGCTCATACTTGATCATTATAATCTCAGTTCATATTTCTCTGTGTAGAACACATCAGATGATGAGTTCATGGTGCGGGAATATTTTCACGACTGGTCTAAATTTGATGTTAATACTTGTCTATATCGTTAAGCGTATGTGTTTAATGGTTAAACATTTTAAAAACAATAGTATGTCTTAACAATTTAAAAAATAGTAATTATTATGAACCATACTTCTAAATGATGGCCTCGCAGAGAGTGTGCAGAAGGTGAATTATGCGGAAAGCATAAGGAGGTAGAACTTTTCAAAATAAAGTTTGTGTTCATTTTTGGTGGTGGTGGAGCGGGGTGGGAGGGGGGATTTACGATATACGGCAACGTTTTGGGGTTCCACTGTAAGGGCGTTCAGCAGAAAGTACGTTGCAGCATTTCTGCTCTTGGAAGGGCGGCGGATTAAGAGGCTGGAAGATTGTTAAACATGTCAACGTGTAATTGCACGATAAGGCCCTCGCGAGGAATTTATTGGCCCAGTTGCTATTTCTATTCCCCTCTAATCTCGTTCAGCACATTCGTTCTATGCAATCTGTCTCCGTAATCTTCTGTGACAGAATGGCGTCCAATGGCAGCGTGCGTTTTTGGAAAGGAGAGAAAATATGCAGAGGCGTGATAAACTGATGCTAATTATCCACATTTAGGACACCAAGTGCAAGAGATCGGGTTTACAAATAACAAATACGAGCCAAATGCGACGGCTTCCTGGTGCTGAATATATCGGTGGCTACAAGATAAGGGTATCACATCCTGAAGAGATTTACTGGTCAGAGGTTCCCCTCCCACTTCCCACCTTTACAGCAATATATTATTTTGGTGATATATATATAAACGTTTCTTTTTATTTGGCAATGCGCCACGACTTACGCGTCATTTTGTTTTTCGATGCAAATCCTCAGGCCTCTGCATCTGTAGATAGGACACCGCACATAGCCGCTCGTTTAGCAATTATTTTATACCGATGCGTACCGAGGCTGGAGTGAACTCCGCGTTACTGTTAACGTGGTTTCGATCACCTGCACTATACTGAAGGGGACAATTCGCCCTTCGCGTCTGATGTCAGTAAGTTTGTTTGCTAAGGTTGTTCCCACTTCGCTCTCTTCATTGACGAAAAGTGCATAGGCGTCATTCAAGTGATTATCTCGTTGCAGCGTCCTTATTATCTGCTGACTGTATTTCAGATAGCACTGTGTATCAAAAGAGGACCGTGTGTTGCTTGGTACAATAATTTCATTAAGGTTTTATGGGGAAATCTAATAAGCCACCACTGACACTGATGACATGTGGATAAAACGTGACTTAGTTTAAAACCAGAGGGTGCACACTTTCGAGTTTGACACCTGGAGTTATTAGTCATCCATACTTCATATAAACAAATAAAGAAATGAAAAGATTATTTAGATAGATAAATATATTTGATAGATTGATAGATAGACAGACAGACAGACAGACAGACAGACACACACACATATAGATAGATAGATAGATAGATAGATAGATAGATAGATAGATAGATAGATAGATAGATAGATAGATAGATGAACCATCACATTTTTAGCAACAGGCTTAAATTTTTCCTTTTCAGTGTCATACAGTAGATAGTTTACAACATTCAGTCCTACTTAACATTTCATCGGACTGTAATTCATTCAATACTTGTAAAAGTAGCTATAGACGACCCCCAAAATATGAAACATCGTAAATGTCAATTTATATGATTATATTTAATTTATTAACTTTGGATTAGTGTCACATAGGCAAATGATCTTACTTATTTAAATAGTACAGGGTTACAATATTATTTTGTCATTTAATTCAAACACGCATTTCTGTTGTGTACTATAGAAATATGATCAATGAACTTGTTAATATGTTATTATACATAATATATGTTAATGTATGTATTTGCGAAGCGTTTTTGAGTGATAATTGGCACAAATAATAATATGGAAACTTAATTGAGTTTATACTATTTATTGTATATGTTGAATTACCACACGGAAAGTCAGGACTTGAGAGAAACGCATTCCCGGAGTTTGGGTCCGCAGGCAGAACCACTTGTTGCCGGAGATTTCAGCGGATGACGTCACGGTTCCGGCGGTAATTGTAAAAGATTGACTTGCCGCTGACCCTTGGGGTCAACCCCTCTGCTGACTAATCCTATTCTCCGCGACACAAAAAACTCTCTACTACTCTTCTCATCCATCTTAATCCCATCTGACACCTAACGGAGGGCTAGCGAAATTTTCTTGACGGCTTCATAATTCAGTGCATCGTTATCCACCCCCCGCCAAAAAAAAAACTATATAAAGTCTCGGTGAATGAATATTAAACCTTCCGACGTTGCACATGTCCGTCTTCACATATATAATGTTCTCAGTATTTTTCCACATATAAATAGTTCATTATTTGATACAAAGCGAATAAGTAATTCAAAGGATCCCCTGGTTCCCATGCAGACGGATTTAGCTGAAGTGGAAAAGGTTTTAAAACGTGTGCCCGTGTCTGCATCTGGCGGGTAATACATCAGCCGAGAATCCATCCACCAATGAATTTCTGATTTTCTTTTCATCTACAGCACTCCGCATTTAAATGGACATTCTTTGTTAAAAGATCAAGGAAGGAAGCTTGAACTTTGACCCCTGGATCCTAAACAAGCAAATAACCGAATCGCTTTTTAATTTCAGCCCACGGAAAACAGAGTAAGCCATTTTCACAGGACGACGATTAAATATAATTTTTTGCAGTGACATGAGTATAAATTAATTATTGAAAATGACAATACATTAAAGGACAAGATAAAAAAAATGCTAACTTATCGCTTTATTTTAGCACCTTCATGTGTAACAGAAAATGTTTAGGCCTATTTTAGGTGAAAATTCCAGGCTGATTGTAACAGGGTTGATGCAGCTTTTATTAAAAGCGCATCTGTGCAAGACATCATCATTAAGCAGGTTCAAAGCAAAAAATCTCTGAAATTGCATGTTACTGATTATTTATTCTCTCCTCTTTTTTTAATGTAGCTATTGTCAATGTATATCATTTTATACGCGGTACCAAAATCTCTCCTAAACTCATCTTTCTTATGCAAAACTAAAACATTAATGTTATAATTAATTATTATACATTTCCAACAATTTCAATAAGTCCTGGCAGTCAGAAACATAACAGTTTTACGGTGGGAAAGGAATAAATAAGCAAGTCTATCGTTTTTACAGGAAAAAACAGACATACCAATTGTCAGTTGCAGAAGCATTATATTAAATTAACCCAGAAATGTTTACAAAGAAAATGCGCACGCAAAATAAAATCGCAAAAAAATTAATGAAATAGATTGAGAAAAACAGGTTTTGGCATTCTGAGTTGGCTTCACGCTGCATTTAAGCGCCACTGTAGTAAATCTTCCGTGAAACGGTAACGGACTGTCAACTTCCAGCACTGCGCACAACCGACTTTCCGAAGAGATAGCTGACACCGAAACTGCCCTTAAAAATTAAAAATCAAAGCATTAGAAATTCCCTTTGAAAACCAGACACTGCCATTCAACAGGTGTTAAAGTCCGCCTTCTGGTCTGTTTCCTTCATACTAAAGACAGAGACGATATTAGATTATAGATTCGATGGGAAAATATTCACCATTTTACTTGAATAACCACGTTTGACAATCAAATATATTGTGGCAAAATTACAGATTGCTTACTAAATACGCACAGAACTGGAAAAAACTATACTCACGTAAGTTCTTCGAGCGACAAATATGGCTGCATATAATAGTGATAGAACTTGAAGAATTTATGGACGATCAGTTGGGATTTAAACTTTACATAGCATTTTATTTTATTTTTTAGACATGGCAAAGGGCGTTTAACCCGCTGATACAAACTAAACCCTTCTGTCTTCGCTTCTGTGTAATTAGTTGTAATTTATTTATCTTTAAATAAAACTTAACTAAAATTAAAATAGCTATTTAGAGGTTTTTTTTTTTTTTTACCAAATATAAATAAAAAATTCATTTGCATATTCTGCACGTATTATTATGTATAAAAATGTATCTAACGGGCCTGTCCTTAGTGATTAACTCAGCAAAAACATTTTTATTTATTATTTTGGCAAAGAAAAGGGTTTTAAATGATAAAGACAAGTCTATTTACCGACTGACCTGAACAATACTTCATCAATGACCTTGATAATAACAATAATAATAATAATAATAATAATAATAATATAGTTTAGAAATATAAGTTTTAACTATATTTGAAACACACAATAACACAAGTAATGAAACTTGAGACACTTTTTTTCCAGAACCAGGGCACCATATCTGTAAAATTTATTTAACTCATAAATCAACGCAATGTCAAGATTTCCTTCTTTTTTCTTTAAGAGAAATGCATTTAGTAAAATATTTACAGTTAGTCTCTTGTCAGCTTCTAGAATATTGAAAAATATTCACAATTTACAAGAAATATTACAACAAAAAATAAATCATTCAGATACAGAAACTCACATGTTTACAAACGTCTGGGAAAATGTCAAATGGGGGAAATCTATAAACTTTAAAAACATGTTCGTGTTTGTTCAACTTAATTGTTACTATATTTTTGTTAATAACGCTATAGTCATTTTGCACAGAAAATGGGGATGACTTCAAAACCAGTAGATTGAATTTACAGGAAAATCGCAATTGTTTAAAACGTTAAATTAGTTAATGAACTAAAATGGAACAATTAAGGGTTTAATATAAAGAAAATGATGGAATAGTAGCCGATGTCAAAACCATGTTTTCTTGTGGTATATCTTATCGTTTTTTCCTAAAAGGCATCCAAACCATATTTAACTTAAATTTTACATGAACATCAAAACATTCTGTACAAAAGGTAGTTAAGTGACAATCTAAAAAAGAGGTAAATATTTGGTTAAGAGTTTCTGTATGTTCGTTGCAGTTTGTATTCATTTTGTTTACGCTTAAATATGTGTCAGCGGAACTGTGCCGTTCACCCCTGCTGTGGTACTTTGATAGTGCTGTGGCAATGTATGCAGCCTACTTTGGACTGACGGGTCACCTGGATCGCCCGTGGGTAAATACATGCTTATCATTTCCCTCAGGTCTCCCGGACACGGAGCTCTGGAGTGAGTGGAAACAGGAGGGCTCACGCTTGGCTCCGATTTCACCAGCGACCCCAAGGTGCCAATAGCCCCCGAGGAAGCCACACTCGAGTTCTGGTGCTGAGCGTAGGAAATTCCCCCATACCCCGACGGAGAGGCGCTCATGTAACTCTGGGAGTTCGAGATGGGGCTATACTGGAGAGCGGCCATGTCGTAGCGGTGCATAGGCTGAGGGTTGTGAGGGTGATGGTGGTGTGCGTGGTGGTGATGAGTCCCGCTGCCCGGGTGCTGGCTGTACGCGAGCTGCGCCTCCTGCATCATCGCCGCGGCGGCTGCAGCAGCTGCGACCTGGCCGGAGTAAGCGCCGTTTGCCCAGCCGTTCATGTGTGCATAGCCCGCGCTTGCTGCGCCACCGTGACCCCCAGGACTCTCTAACCTCTGTCCGACCCCAGCCGGATTCATCCCGACGCCTAGACCAACTCCACCGCCACTGCCAGCTCCGGTGAGCAGACCTCCAGCTAAGGAGTACTTGTCTTTTTTCAGAAGGGTCTTGGTCTTCCTCCTGGGTCGGTACTTGTAATCCGGATGCTCTTTCATGTGCATGGCCCGCAACCGCTTCGCCTCGTCAATAAAGGGTCTCTTTTCCGCCTCAGACATGACTTTCCACTCAGCGCCCAGCCTCTTGCTGATTTCGGAGTTGTGCATTTTGGGATTCTCCTGGGCCATCTTCCTCCGCTGACCCCGAGACCAAACCATAAACGCGTTCATCGGTCTCTTCACCCGGTCTTGGTTAGATTTGCTTCCATTGTTTGGCCCCGTCTGCCCCGAACTCGTATTTGTTTGGGGTCCTGGGGAATGCAGGTCCGTTTCCATCATCATGCTATACATTCAGCTGGATTTAACTTTTTAACCAATATAGAAGAACATTCAGTTTCTGAGCTAAAGTCCGGCTCAGCTGGCGCGAACGAGCGAACCTCCGGCGAAAAGCGAGTCACACAATGCAATGTAATCCAGGACGGTAATGATACTTCGTTGGACTTTTTTCAGAGTGTTTCCCCCTCTCCACTTGCTTTTCAGATCCACAGCGATGAAAAGCGTCTTTGAGCTACTTTCTCTAACAGTGTAGGGAAGTTAATAGAGCAGCAGCCATACGATGCGCTCTGACAGCGATTAAATGAGCTGAAGGCGGCCAATGGCGTTTTAGAAAAGATTTGATTTGCATGGTGTTCGGTCAGGTGACGTAGAGAGGTGAGAACTAACTAGTAGGCGGGGTGTAACAGGGGGTCACCACCGCCTCTAACGGAAGGTAAATAGTAATAAACCAGTTAGAGGAGCATTTTCTGGCCAAGTAAAGCGTCACATTTGTTAATATCAAACGTAAGCGAGACAATGATAGTCTTCGTCTTTCATAGGCTACTTTTCACAGTCCTGTATACTTCATCATACGGGTATGGACCGCTATACTTTTAAATTATTAACCTAAATGCAACAACAGCAATAATAATAATATTAATAATAATATTTAGCACATTTTTCTGAGTTGATGAGCTAATGACGTGGATTTCTTAATGAACACAGGATACGAATTTATTTCGGTTTACATGTACTGTGATGTTCCACTTTATTTTTCTATACTTAAAACGTAAACGGTAAAATAATCTGCCTAAATAATATCAGTGTGCTAGTCTAATCTTGTAATATGTTCTTTCCAAAATGCTGGAAGTGATGTTTAGCTACGGGGAAGATGTTTTAAAACTATCCCATCTTTTCGGGCTCTTCGAATGTAAAAAAAACAAAAACCTAGGGGTTCCGAATTCTCCGCTCTGCATTTAAAGCACAGTTTTATGTTACTTTCGCCTCATTGCCCTTTTAAAAAACTAAATCCGTGAAAAGCCTTTTTCAAATGGGAGCCACAGGTGCTCTCTTGTTGTGACGGTTGCTAAGAAACAGGTGACTGACGCCCACAGCACGTGCCAGCCGAGGCACTTTTGTCCAGTATCCCAGTACTACAGGCAAGCCATGAATGAGACACTAAAACTGTAATCGCTTAGCAAAAGATCGCAAGGAGGCTGCTATTTATTTGCGTGCTGCAAAGACATATGTAGACACCTATTAACGTCATGTACCGTGTTTTTATGTGCACCTGTTTTTTTGTTAGGTAATTATCATATAGACTATCTAAGATAGGCCTATAGATTTATGATGAAATGTAAGAGGTACTTTGCCGGTCGTATTTCATCTTTCCTTTCCTAAAGCAAGTCGCTTATGTACAAGTGATGTTCCCTCATAACACTGTATTCAGTCACTTCAGTAGGTTCACTAGTACTATTGGGTATCCATAGATAACACTAGATAACACCCAGCCGCCGCAGTAGGTCAGTATGAAAGTTTATAAACGTTGCTCTTCGTTCCGGGGCCATAATTTGAACATTTGGATCAGAGACCCCCGGGAAATCAGTCAGCGGGAATAGAGCAGAGTTTGACCGCCGTCTACTGGTGGCGGAGGCGGCGCCAGCTCACGAGGTGGTGCTGAAAGACAGCGCCCCGCAGGCTGCACGCGAGCACGACCGCAGGACCGCAGCCGGCGGCCGTTTGCTGGCTGATTTAGCGCACACGCCGCAGGCGAAAGCAAATAAAACAGCCGGTGGAAAAAGGCAACATTGTAAAAAATACGTATCCTACGATTTGTACCTATATGTTCCCAAAGTGTATATCCAATTTAAGATCTCACAACGAACAAAGATCTGAACCACAAAGCCACATTTGTCTTTCAAATTATGATTGACCAAGTTTAAAAAAAGTTAGTACTAGCAATTATATTTCACTCCGACCCAGTCATCTTTTAATGCGCGCATTTTCAGAAACTATTGGTATTTATTTAATTGGAGCCGACCAAGCCGTACATCTGTCAAATTAATGAATAAAAACGAGAACGCAAATAGGCCAAAATACATTGATGAATAACATAAACTGTTACATTTTGTCATGGTCTCGAAACACTATAACCTATTCAGCGATGCAGTGCATGTGTTTTAACTTTTGAGTAACACTTACCCCGTATAATTCAAATTTCACAGCTGACCTATTCTGAAAACCCCAGTCGACTGCTAATTGAGGGCAAAACAAAATATTACTTCCTCACGCAACAGTTAACGTTTTAATAACAATAACAGAATTTATAGGTTTTAATTAGACGCACAAAGATGCTAAATTAACAAAGAAACAACACTGGTCTGATGTATTTTAGTTCTGTAATTGTGTTAACTACATAACGCTCACGTAATCGTCGGTGTTCAAGCCGTGCACTTTACCGGTTTGCAGTAAAGAACTGAGCATATTTTAGACACATAATCCATGATGTCCTATAGACTACCGAAAATTGTATGTTATTGCTCACCCAGTGGTTCCCAGTGCTCACTATAACCGAAATATTTATACTACTATTAACTACTGTAGTAGGCTAAAGTGAACGAAACCGATGAGGATCTGTTTGGTGGTGCAGTGTGTAAATTGCTTATCAGTGGAATGCGCACTTTTACTAATTTTTCTTTTTATGTATATATATGATGATATTTGGTAAAAAAAAAAAACCAAACAAAAAAAAAACAATACAACCAGCATCAGTACATAAAAATTCAACAAAAACACTCCGAACACAACTACGACAACCACCTGCAACAATAAACTAATAATATAATTATGAAATGAAAATCTAAAGATAACGTCCGAAAATTTCATTCAAAAACTATAAGGATTTGAAGGTAATCATAACAAATAAGATTTGGATGGATTTATCTAACTAAATTTATAAATCATAGTTGTGCTCCGACCGACCCATTTTAACTGTTGTGTTTAATCTATTGTATTACTTTGGTGGAAGTAACCATTATGAATTAAGGTGCGGGTTATCTGATTGTAAAATCTTAAGTACAGTTAGTAGGTTTGAGTGACGTTTTTATTTGATTTGATTGTTTTAAATTTCTCTTAAATTACTGAAAAATATGAAAACTATCAAGTGCCGTTACGGCTGGTACACTATGATGCAGTATATTACAAATAACTTTTCCGCGAAATTTATTTTGGTTAATAATTATACATTTTAGCAGTTAATGCGCCATTTGCAAGCAGCATGATTAATAAGAGGATGTTAGAATGATTAATCGCTTACACGGCTCCAATGTCTCGAATATGCAAATATGTTTGTTTTTTTTTTTCATTTTTGGCTTTGTAAAGAAAAAAAATTAATTTGCTTTGTAATTTTTCAAATATTTTGTAAATTTACAGTTTCTGTAATGTGATAATATTTTAAGAAATTTGCACATTTAACAAGAACAAAATGTGTATATTAGAAATATTAATATTTCTTACATAATATTACAAACAACAATAATACATTTTTATGTATTCATGTAGACATTTCTATATATTAGTAATATATAATATACTTTATAATAATGCCGGTGCTAATAATTCTACTTATCATTCTAACAGTATTAATCCTTCCAAATTAACGTTTGTTGCAAAATTATTCTTAGTCATTATTCCAATTGTTGCAAGAAACCCTGGGCCTATCTTCAAAACGTGATTTAGGATTTATCGGAAGGGCCATATAAAAATAGTTAGTTAAATGCAGTAAAGAGCATTTAATATAAATGGATCGTTTCGACGTTTTCAAAACCTCTCGTTTACAAACAGAAGTACAAATTGATCATCACTAGTAATGTGGACCCAGAGGAGGGGGCTGCGGGGTTGATATTTACTTGTGTCTTATCCCTCTCTGTCGTTCACGGAAGCTTTCGGAAATTTCCTGAGGTCTTTCAGCCCCCTCCGAAGAGCAGCCTAATATACATTTGCCGTTGCACGCGGCGAGTGCAAGGGTCGTGATGAGGGTCTCCCACCCCGCCCCCACCCCCGCCGCCTTAAGGAACAACACTTTGGAGAATCTATTCACTCCCTTTTAGATTACGGATTTTTTCTCTACCTCCTTGCGTTTCGACGATTTTCATTTCTTTTGACATCAAGAGTCACATATCATCTGTCTACAAATGAAATAGGCTATCGTATAACGTTAATCCCGTGTAATCAGTTACTATTTACTTTTCGAATATCCAGCGCCATGCAGGAGTTATTAAAAGTCAATCATCTGCAACATTAGCAGTACACGTTCCTAAAACATACAATATGGATACGACGCTTTGCTTTTGACTAAGTCTATTAAATGAGAAGAGACATACCTAAAAAGAAATTTAAGGTTTTACAAAAATAGCATTTTCTGGCATACTTATGTATATCGTCATATTTGTGCAGACAGAAATGTGCAATTTCACATGCCATTGCCAATCTTAGTGCTTCATTTTACCAAGCGGCACTGTACAATCAATACTTCATAAACTGGAAGCGTGTTTATACGGCGTGCAGTATTTCGGTTTTCAGCCGCTAAATACTGGCTTTCTGCTTTTTAAAAACCGTTATCTGAAGCAGCGCAGCCCTCCTCGTTCCTTCCCCTCTTCTCTAAAAGTGAAGCTAAAGTGTCTCTTGAACTTGTGAGAAGGCCTAGTTTAAAATGGCCGCCGGCTGACAGGTGTTGCCGGTCGCTCCGAAGCGCACTTTGTAAACGTAATTGAGGTTGGAAGGGTAGAGGGGGTCCTGATGGATTATTTATCTGGTATTACAGACTGGTAATACTGGTGCCGAGCTGGGTACGCGAACCTCTGGAAGACGCATTATAATGAAAACACAAACGTTACAGGACGTCGGTGGAGCAGCTCTAAGATATGAGCAGTTAATTATGAGATTTTTCACAAGTATAAGACCAAGACGAACATGGACGTAGGAGAGAGTTTGCTGTCGGGGGAAACACAACTTAATAATTAAAAAGCAAAGGTCTACTTAATGGGGGTGGGGGGTGGGGACGAATGAAGCCAAATTAAATACAGGGGTTCATGTCTCCCCGTCAGCACCAGTTCTTACGCCCCTGGAGACGAATATTATAATTTTTCAATAGAATTAGAAAATTAATTATTTTCGGTTTATACTGCTTGTCAAAAAATGCTATAGCTTGTTATCCTTGTTTAATGTTTATCAGCTTATTCATTATCTAAATCAAGAAAAAAATATTAAAGTCCTTAATGACAAACTTGTTATTTTAACCAAAATACTGTTTACACTGCATTTGTGATCCCAAACAGAATTGTTCTGGCACTCTGGGCGAACTGGTCTTTCCACCAAACAGCCAATGCAATTAAACTTACGTTTTATTGGCGTAATTGACTGTCGCCGCTATCGTGCGAAAACACCTGTTTCTGCCTGGGCCATCGCGCGCACTGTATCTGCCCATCAATTTCACGACACTTTTACTTCGTTGCTCCCGTCTGCATGAACAAACCAACTCATTCCGAACTCCCAAGTAACGCTTTTGCAGTTTCATTGACCGGCTACATCCTGTATGTGTCTAGCAAACAGCAAAACTAACAATAGATACAAAAGGTTCTTAACTAATTCTACATGCAGCGGGAAGACACGCAGAGACAAACTTCTACTGCAAAACACTATAGATGGATGAAGAAATTTTATGTGTAATATCGTAACTTTAACAATAACGCACAATAGTCTCAAGGATTTATAAATTGATTCTAAAATGTATTAATTCCAAAGCACGAAACTCAAGAAAACACTTTGTTATGCGGTTCCACTATCGATCAATAGTATCGCCTTTGTTATTGATTGGTAATTGCATCTATCCTGCGTCTTAATTTCGAAGTTAGGTAATTAAGAATTTAATTAAAATAAAATAAATAATTCCCCAATACATCGACTGAAAATGCAGCGAAAGCCGACTAATTATGAAACCGAAAATCGCTCAATAGTTCTGGAGTTATAGATAACAGCCTGGACAGAAAAGCAGACATAAACAATATTGCCGACTTCGTTAATCATCGACTGAGCTCATCATGTGTTTCTTTTCTAAGAACAACTGTAGTATTAAATCAACGCGAAGCCGAAACGGAATTAATGCGCCGCACTTTGCTCCTTCTTCAAACGCGCTGCACATGTTGCGTTCGCTCAGAAACAGGATCAAATGATCCATACATTTGATCCAAATTAAACGACAAATTCTGACCTTTGCCATAAGGTTAATAACCCCGTGTCGTTTTTTTTTTTTGCCGGTTTCTTTAAAACGCCGTGCTAACGCAAAATCTAAGCGCTCGAAATAAAGGCATATTCTAGTACGCATATTTATTTACAATATACACATTGTTTTTGTCAAAAGACGTCCATGTTTGCAACTTACCGAATTCAAATTAAAAGAAAGGTAAAAAGCTAGCCGTTGTATTTTAGGTCATGCAGATATACGCGGGTTCCATTGTCCCTCAATCGCAGACAGTGATGCTGAAAAAGTAATCTTCATACTCATTCGTATCGCTATGTCCTTTCCTAAACAAGTGGTGTGTATATATATAAAAGCCTCACGTAAACCC